CATCGGCGAATGCACGTCTTTGGGCGATTAAGCCTTCGGGCCTCTGGATTCGGAGCGCTCTTCGTGGATATCACGATTGGCCAAACTAAGTCTCCGGATTTGGAGCCCCATCGGCGCATGACATCTTTGGGCCGATAAAGCCTCCGGATTCAGAGCGCCCTTCGTGGATATAACGATTGGCCAAACTAAGTCTCCGGATTCGGAGACCCATCGGTAGATGACGTCTTTGGGCCGATAAAGCCTCCGAATTCGGAGCGCCCTTCGTGGATATCATGATTGGCCAAAATAAGTCTCTGAATTCGGAGCACCCATCGTGGATATCGCGATTGGCCAAAAAGACTCTGGATTCGGAGCCCCATCAGCGCATAACGTCTTCGGGCCTATAAACCCTCTGAATTCGGAGCGCCCTTCGTGGATATCACGATTGGCCAAACTAAGTCTCCAGATTCAGAGCCCCATCGGCAGATGGTGTCTTTGGGCCGATTAAGCCTCCAGATTTGGAGCACCCTTCGTAGATATCACGATTGGCCAAACTAAGTCTCCGTATTCGGAGCCCCATCGGCGCATGACGTCTTTGGGCCGATAAAGCCTACGGATTCGGAACGTCCTTCGTAGATATCACGATTGGCCAAACTAAGTCTCCGGATTTGGAGCCCCATCGGCGGATGACGTCTTTGGGCCGATTAAGCCTCTGGATTCGGAGTGCCCTTCGTGGATATCACGATTGGCCACAAAGACTCCAGATTCGGAGCCCCATCGGTGCATGACATCTTTGGGCCGATTAAGCCTCTGGATTCGGAGCGCCCTTCGTGGATATCACGATTGGCCAAAATAAGTCTCCGAATTCAGAGCGCCCTTCGTGGATATCACGATTGGCCAGAAAGACTCCGGATTCGGAGCCCCATCGACGTATGACATCTTTAGGCTGATTAAGCCTCCGGATTCAGAGCGCCCTTCGTGGATATCATAATTGGCCAAACTAAGTCACCGGATTCGGAGCCCCATTGGCGCATGACATCTTTGGACCGAAAAAACCTCCGGATCCGGAGCCCCATCGGCACAAGACGTCTTTGGACGATAAAGCTTCCAAATTTGGCTAGCCAGATAGTGCCCTCGGGCAACGCTCAAGGGCCGAGCAATATTCCGAATTCGGAGCACCCTCCAGAATGAAAACATTTACACATCAAGGCAGGGATATGTAGGTTGAGCCAGTACAACCGCATGGACAAGACAAAACGTGCCAGCATTCAAAATAAGATGCTTTATTAAGCATATAAAAATTCAGAATTAGATGAACTTTTAAAATGAAACATTTTATTCGATTAAACAGCAATTACAAAAACGTAATCCGTGTTCGAAGCATTACAATATCCGTTCTCATACGGCGTCGCGTTGGTACAGTAGCAGCGCCGAATCAACGCCCGCTGATCGGAGAGCATCTGCAACTTGAAATGCCTTGATCTGACCATGCTTGAATCCACGATGTTCACACCGGCGAGACAATCACTCTCGAGGTGGAAAGCTTCGACACCATAGACAACGTCAAGGCCAAGATCCAGGCCAAGAAAGGAATTCCCCATGAAAACAGTAATACTCAACAGTTGCAGCGCTACGTCGGCCTCATTTCTCAGTGGTGGTTGCGGAGAACTCCCCCATTGCTGTTTCTCCCTTTGGGCTGATCTGCTTCGACGACTTAGAGGCTAGCATTTTTCCTATTTTTTGAACGCCCTACCTCCCGCACGAGTGGGTTCTCTGTTGCGATTCATTGCAATATCAAGCTCAACCAAAATCGAAGTTTCTCCTCTGCTGCTGAAGAAAACTCCATTTGACATTCACACTTATCTAACCCCACGCAACAAAATCGTTTTAAATCGAGTCTGAACACAGTAAGCGAAGTTACTAGAGTGAAAATTCTGAGGCAATTTATTTCTAAATCCTTGTAGCGACCCCGAGGCGATTTCATTAACACAACCCCAAAAGATGGACGCCAAGCGATATTGGCCACAACCACTCCATGTACTAGTTTTTGGCTTTTTTGGAGTTAAAATGGCCTAATTATATAAACGACAGTTATAGATGGGCTGACTGTCTCCGGATTCGGAGCCCCTAGTGCATGACACCTTTGGGCCAGTTAAGCCTCTGAATTCGAAGCCTCATCGGTGCAATGGACCATGCGTGACACATGCCAAAGATATATTTAATGAAGAATGCTAATGACAAGGCGGTATATAACCGTTCTAAATTAACATGCCTAGTTGACTTGGGCCGATCAATGTTTATACAATGAAACACATGCAAACACGTGTGTGCCGAATGCAAATTACATTGAAACATTTTATTCAATTAGACAATATTTACATAGTTATGACCGCGATCTGCGTTCGAATGTTACATTGAGTGTTTTTACATGACGTCGCCCTCATCCTCACTCTGCTCGACTTCAAAGGCGGAAAACGGAAAATGGTTACGTTGGTATAGTGGTGATGCCGAGTCGACGCCCGCTGCTCGGAGAGCTTCTTCGGCCTGAAGCACCTTGATCCAACCATGCTTAAATCCACGATTTTTGCATCGGCAAACTTCCTTGACGAGCTTTTCCTTGGTCTTTTGTATCCCTACTTTCCGGCCTTCGTGGAAGCCTTTTTCATAGGCCCTCCCCTTCGTGGATTCCATCATGAACATGCTCGCCGTATCGAGATTGGTACTGATACGCCGCTGGGTGACCCTTTCTTCCACGATTAGGTTAGCCTGTCCGACAGGTTGTGCCTGAACGGCCTTGACCTTCCTTAGCTCACGTTCAGCCGCCTCCAAGCTTCAGATGGGCTCATCCATCTTCTCTATTTCTCGGCGGGCAGCACAGAGACGCATGCCGATTTCGTAGGCAGTGTAGAGCCCCTTCACCGCACCATGAATGCCTTCACGAAACACTTCGAAGTCCTGCCGACCTACCATCGACTGCTGGACCTCGGGAGGAAAAATCTGTCGAGCACATTCGACTGCCACACTTGAATCTCGAACGATTGAGTCCGCATCTGTCACGGGTCTACTCCCCACGAAGACTGCAAAACTCAATGGGCGTGGGTTTGCACCGAGCTCCCTTCCAGAACGGGGTTGCGGGGATTTGCCCTGTGGCTCCTTATCCCTCCTAGGCAACCTACTTCAACGACGAGGAGATTTACGTCTCTCCCGATCCCTCGAAATCCTACCTCCCATGCACGAAGGTTCGCCACTTCGATTCATGTCTCCTCCTAGCTCAGCTAGCGTCCTCGCTTCCCCTTTGCTGTTAAAGAAGAGTCTATTCGACATTCACGCTTGTTTATTCTTCATCAAAGACCGGGACTGAGTTGCTCACTGAGCACATAGATAGAACCTTCATTCATTTATTCCCTACGAGGGCAGCGCCACCGAGGCAATCTCATTAATATCAAAACCTCAACAATCTGGCGTCGACCGTGTCGTGCCCCCATCAAACACTGTTATTCGACAGTCTTAACTTTCGCAAGGGCAAATTCGTGAACTAGCCGGGGCAAGGGTAGATTCATCAATCTCTTCGGCTAGAATGCATCAATCTATTCCGCTAGAATGTCGCAGCCGGTTCACGAATCGACTCATCAATATTGTCTGATTCGGTGTTTAATGTTCATGAACCAGCTAGGCAAAGGCAGATTCATCAATCTATTCGGCTAGAATGCCGCAACCGATTCACGAATCGACTCATCAATATTATCTGATTCGGCGTTTTATGTTCATGAACCAGCTGGGGCAAAGGCGGATGCATCAACCTATTCAGCTAGAATACCGTAGCCGGTTCACGAATCGACTCATCCATATTGTCTGATTCGGCATTTAATGTTCATGAACTAGCTGGGGCAATTGCAGATTCATCAATCTATTTGGCTTGAGTGTCTCAGCCGCTTCACGAATCGACTCATCAATATTGTCTGATTCGGCGTTTAATGTTCATGAACTAGCTGGGGCAAGGGCAGATTCATCAATCTATTCGGCTTGAGTGCCACAGCCGCTTCACGAACCGACTTATCAATATTGTCTGATTCGGCGTTTAATGTTCATGAACCAACTGGGGCAAGAGCGGATGCATCAATTTATTCGGCTAGAATGCTGCGGCCGGTTCACGATTTGACTCATCAATATTGTCTGATTCGACGTTTAATGTTCATGAACCAGCTGGGGCAAGGGCAGATTCATCAATCTATTTGGCTTGAGTGTCGTAGCCGCTTTACGAATCGATTTACTAGTCCTATTCTACACCAAGAGTCGATTTACTTGTTTGGATAAATTAAAGTTTAACTAATATAATTGCCAAGATTACACTGCTATCCAATCGATAGTTAGAAGGCACAACGGACAATAATCATTTTATCCAAAGTAGTGGAAGGCAAAACTCTTCATTAATATCAAAAACTACGTACAAGTAATAGTGAAACGGGAAGGAAATTTTCATTAATAAATTGAGCGCAGATAGTAACTAATTTATACATGAAAATTACCTTGAACTAACAAGAATCCACTGAACAAAAACGTACATTGAAATTGAAGATACCTAATAAAACTAGAATGTCTCCCAGATCAATCCTTGGGATCAAACTCAAGTGGCTCAACGTCCACTTGCTCGTATGGAATTGGCAAGGCCAATGTAACTCCAACGGCAGCAGGGGCTTTGAGCCACCCATGTTTGAATCCCCGATTCTCGAATTTGGGGACCTCATCTATGTATTCCTTCAAGGCGGCGCTCTTCCCAGCCTCTAGCACCGTAGAAGCTTCAAATTTGACTTTTTCCTTAGCCACCTTCAATTCTTCTAAGTCGGCCTCTGCCTTGGAAAGCGCCTCCTGGGCTAACTTGAGCGACTCCTCGCTCGCGTGCGCCCTATCCTCGGCTTCGGATCTGAGCTGGTTAGCAGTCCAAGCCCTCGCCTTTTCAGCTTCGGCTCGAGCACTTTCCATTACGGCTCTCATCGCCTCGAACTCGGCCCTGCTTCTTTTACCTTCAGCTTCAAACTTTAAGCGGCCAATTCTTTCAATGGCATCACGCTGCCGGGGGCCTAGTTTCGCTACCCTTCCAACCGTCTGTAAAACAAGTTTGGATCACCACACCAAGCAATATCGTATGCAAACCAAACCAAACGAGCATAAAAGAAAGTATTGTATATATACCAGAAGGGTCGACTGGGCAGCGAACGCTATAGCTACCAAATCCAGCTCTTCTTGAAAGGTGGCCTTGTCAACCGGTAGGGAAACTAAGGCGGCCAAGCTCAACGCCACGGCTGGATCCTTCATGGCAGATGCATCAGAGGAGATTGGCGTGTCTTTGATCTTCGGTTGAGCAACGAAAGGGACAACCACGTCGGACTCGTCTAAACGAGGTCGTTTGTCAGCAGGGATATCCTCTGAGCCGGCCTCTCCCTCGGTGGAACATTTTTTGCCCTGCTCTTTTGAAACTAGCCGTTCTTCCGTAACTTGGTGTTCAGCCCCCTCCATCTTGGCCACAACAACTTAATCCGTTTCTTCTCCAGTAACCGGTTGTAAAGATTCAACCAAGGCAGGCTCAGAACGAGCGGCCTCGGCTTTCTTTCGGGCGGCCATTCGCTGGGCATTTCTCTTTCTCGCCATCTGCGTGAGATTTTCCCCAGCCATGCCTTCAGAAAAAGTTCCGGGTAGATCTCCCAAGTTTGTAAAACTATCTCCGAAGGAAAACTCCGCTCGACCCGAAGTGGACGGAGAGTTAGGCTGGTTAAGACTGGCTGCCGCAAATGCTGATTTTAGAGCTTCGTCGACCTCTTCGCCTCCGCAGCGAACACCGTTGATTCGGCAACTACTTCAACCACCGGCTATAAGTCTTGCCCCGAATCAGAAGCTTCGAGACCAACTTGCCTGAGGGTCTTGAAGCTGGGGAAGACAAGAGCCGTAAGGTGTTATTCGCCGGTTGGGATCGGAATGTCATCTGCGGCCGAGAATGTAGTATAGGTAGGCTCATACCGCAAGAGAATATGGGCGGCTCTCCCTTGTTTATGTACATTTGGACGACCAAAGTAATTTAGTGCAGTCTTGATTTCCGCAAGGACTTCATCGTCAGCCGAGGTCAGAATCCTCTTCAACTTATTGCCTGTAAAAACAAAGGGTTAGACTTCGAGAAAAAGTCGAATAAAAGAAAGATCAACAAACAAGGAGTTATACGGTAACCTGGTTCACCTTTCCGTCTGGGAATAGGGTCTAGGCGATCTTCGTCTTCGCCGAATTCCCAGTTGCCTCAGACATTGACCATTACATCATCAACTCGATTGCCAGAGCTGGCAAACATTGTTACCAAGTGATGGTCGGTGTCCTTATCCCTAAGAAAATAGCGCCTGAGCCGACCGGAGGATTTGGCTAAAGCGTAGCAGTGCCGAATCGCCAGAATGCCAAGATTGATCCCGAGACGCCGGTTCAACTCTACGATTCCCATTACAATTCAAAAAAAATTAACATTGGGTTGCGAATGAATCAAGCCCCAATAGCGGAGGACGGCCTTAAGAAACGGGTGTAGGGGAAAGCGAACTCCGCCCTCCGCAATGAATAGGAGAGGAAAAACGGTTGTATTTTGGTCATCCCTCTCCATCTCAAGGGTATTGTCCATTACTAGAGATAGATGGGCATCATCAGGGATAGAGAAATGTCTTCGGAACCCAGAAATTCGACCCTCAGAAAGGAGGTCTTTCAAATGCTTAGCCATTCTGGTAAGGACCCAAGGATATTCTAAAATCAAAGATAAATACGGAAAGTAGGGATGCAAAGAGAAGAGAAGAAAACTTACAAAAGGCAAAGGAGAAGACAGAGAGGAGTCGTAGAAAACATGTTGGAGAAGAGACACCGACTGGAAATCCAGGAGGTTCAAATATTCGAAAAAAGCATGCATTCGAAGGGACCGAAGTTTCAAATCGTAATAAATGCGAGCGAAGCATGAATGAGGCAGGAAAGCGTTGCAGTGACCAAACAGAACTTCAACGTGCCAAAACAAGCACAAAAGCTTCACAAAGCTAAGCCTAAAACATGCTAGAACAAGGTGGGTGTTTGTGTGCAATACTAAGACTTAAACACACACAAATACACAAAGAGAGAGAGATATAGAGATAGGATATATGCAAACCCTAACCCTAGAACTCAAAACTCTGAAAAAAAGTTGTCTAACCTCAAAGAGGGAGAAGAGGCCTCCTCTTATAGACAATCCCATCTTGTAAAGCTTCCAAGGCAAGCTAACAAGAGGGAGATCCCTCCATACACGTGTATGGAGGGGAGCAAAGTGTATGCCAGCTAGCACAGCTGGCATAAAAATATTTGCAAAAGCAGATGCACAGTAGTCGGCCGGCCAAAAATGCAATTTGACCAAAATATATGGCCGGTCGACCACCTAGAGTGCCGGTCGGCCAAATATTTGGCTGATTGAAACAAAACACACCCGGTGGCCTCAGGCCATGGCCGGTGGAGTGTGGGGATGGCCAAAAAGCCATTCCCTGCCCTCCAAAGCAAAAACACAAGTGTTTGGTGCAAAACCAGATACAAAACAGTCGAGTCGAGAGATCCTGAGGCAAGGCGCGTAGCCAAGACCTCCGGGAACTCAAGATGAACACAAACAAGGATGATCACCGAGTGTTCAAACGGTGATGTCCAAGTCTTGAGGACAGTCAAAAATGGGGTGTCTACAAAGACTTTTATATGTTATATGTAAAGCCTAAAAACAGTTGCAAGGTAGTCAAAAAAACTATGCAAAAATGGGGAATAAAAGGGAAAAGTGGTTACCCTTGTAGATCCTCTTCAAAAAAGGTGGACCAGCAACTTCCTTAGGTCCAAACCAGCTCCAAAACTTCAAGAACAACCTCCAAGGACCTCAGTTCGAAGAGAAGGTGTAATGGTGGGTGTTTGTGTGCAATACTAAGACTTAAACACACACAAATACACAAAGAGGGAGAGAGATATAGAGATAGGATATATGCAAACCCTAACCCTAGAACTCAAAACTCTGAAAAAAAGTTGTCTAACCTCAAAGAGGGAGAAGAGGCCTCCTCTTATAGACAATCCCATCTTGTAAAGCTTCCAAGGCAAGCTAACAAAAGGGAGATCCCTCTATGCACGTGTATGGAGGGGAGCAAAGTGTATGCCAACTAGCACAGCTGGCATAAAAATATTTGCAAAAGCAGATGCACAGTAGTCGGCCGGCCAAAAATGCAATTTGACCAAAATATATGGCCGGTCGACCACCTAGAGTGCCGGTCGGCCAAATATTTGGCTGATTGAAACAAAACACACCTGGTGGCCTCAAGCCATGGCCGGTGGAGTGTGGGGATGGCCAAAAAGCCATTCTCTGCCCTCCAAAGCAAAAACACAAGTGTTTGGTGCAAAACCAGACACTAAACAGTCGAGTCGAGAGATCCTGAGGCAAGGCACGTAGCGAAGACTTCCGGGAACTCAAGACGAACACAAACAAGGATGATCACCGAGTGTTCAAACGGTGACGTCCAAGTCTTGAGGACAGTCAAAAATGGGGTGTCTACACTAGTCTCCAAGCGGGAAAAGTGGCCTACGACCACAAAGAGATGGTCTACAGACCACTCCCTCCCTCCAGGGAAGAGAAACAAGGCTTGGTCCACAAACCGAGCCAAAGCACAAAGAGTTCAGAGGTCCGGAGGCAAGGCACTCAGCTGAAAACTCCGAAACCTCAAAACGAGCACAACATGCATAATCACCGAGCGCTCAATCAATGACATCTGAGTCTTAAGGTCGGTCAAAAATGGGGTGTCTACAGAAAGGATGCAAGAGAATTATGGTCGTAGTCTTAAGCAATTATACACAATAAATGCAACAATTTAAGCGAACGAATACGAACCAAACTACATTACATGCAGAAAGGATGCAAGAGAATTATGCACTTCTCACTGCGTCTCACATGGAGTACATACAATACCATCTGGTCGCACCTGCTTCAAACGAACTATACATACAATATCATCTGGTCGCGCCAGCTTCAAATGAACTGTACATACAATATCGTACCTGCATAAGAAAGAAACTCAGCAGGTACAATATAGTTAGAAACACATGTCCCATGTTACACCATGGTACAATTCCAATGCGTGATAAACGCATGCATACACAATGCCGATGGAAAGGTGCGTAGCAATGCAAGTGAAAAATGCGTAACAATGCAAGTGGAAAGTGCATAACAATGCAACCTAAGTGTACGTAACAACGCAGGTGGAATGCATGCGCGACAACGCGAATAGAGTGCATGACGATGCAGATGGAAAGGGGTGCATGACAATGCAACCTAAGTGTGACGCATAACAATGCAAGTGGAACGTGCGCGACAACGCATGTGAAGAGTGCATAACAATGTGGATGGAAAGGGGTGCATGACAATCCAACAAAAGTGCGACGCATAACAATGCGAGTAGTGTGGTGCATAACAATGCGAGCAAAATGTGCGTGACAACGCAGATAAAGTGTGCGTGATAATCCAACAAAAGTGCGCATAACAAAGCGACGAGTAGTGTGCACAACAATGAAACAAGTGGTGGGCATAACAATGCAACGAGACGTGCATAACAATGTGAGAAAAGTGCAACTTCAATAGCGTGTTCAAAACAAAATGCTAAATAAGGGAACCTAAGCCTTAACGAGATTAATTTAACCGGAACCTCCGATTTACCTCTCGGAGGGGTCACAACGTACTCAAAAAGGATACACCTTGCTCTTGACGAGTAACGATGAGCCACGCATCGAAGACTTGAATTGAAGTTCCCGCGGGGACATTTTTTTTTTTTATTTTTTTGGGATTAATAACTTTGTTTCAATAATTTGGTTTGGCAGATAATTGTTTATTTCAATTACTATTTTTCCAAATTAATTTTAAATTTCAATTAAAAAAATTTTCCCAATTTTTTATTTCCCAATTAATTTTTTTCATGTTTTCTCCTATTAATTTTCATGGACATAACAAATGACATGCACTGAGAAAAAGTGTTTACACAAGAAACTTGTTTACACAACAAACTTATCCCATAGCTTAAGTGTCACATCCGTTTACCTGTTTTGTTGTGCTTGTCATGTCATCAAACAAGTCATCAAAGACTGTATGGTCTCGTTTATGTCCACTGCCACATCAACACAACTAGGCCTTGTGCTTGTGGGTACGGGCACTGTGTGGTCAAGATTTCTCGATCTGCCAAAAATCCAAGTCGTGCGTACTACCAATGCCCTTATGGAGTGGTGAATACATGCACCTTCACCTTTTTGGGATAATTTCCTTGTCATACCGTCACTAATAATTTTTTTTAACCTCAGCCATGTGCCAATTGAATTGGGTGGTGTGATGAATCTAGCCGACAAACGCCTCTTGAGAATGACAGAGACAATGTTCGTCATTTTGAGGCGCGTTTGATTGACATTGAACAGACTCTGCATGTACTTAAAGTTGTGACATGTTTTTTGTCCATCATCGTCGTTAT